CCTTTTCGTTTCACCGCTTGCGGCCGACTCCATGCCGGTTATCGGCGTGCGGCGCCCGCGCACCCTGGCGCGGATGCTCGCAGGGCTGGCCAACCCAGCAGGCTCTCTCGCCACGGCATCGATGCGCGCGGCAGCGCACGCAGAGGAGATGGGTTCGCTGCGCCGCCGTGGGCGGCGCTTGCGGACGAACTCTCTGCCAGCCAGCCACGGTACTTCGGGGACACCGCGCGAGTCGCCTGCACTCACTTGGACCGGAAGGCCCTCGAGACGCTATTTACCGAACGCGATCCAGCGTCTCGGGCCTTGCCGCTGTCTCAGGCAGGGCCGGGCGGTAGCGTTGCCGCTGCCGCGCTGCCGACTCGCGACGAGTTCAGGCTCGAGCGCGCCGTCGCCCGGGTTTGTCGCGAGGCTGGCGCGCGGGTAGCGACGAACGTTTTCCTTCGCGACCTCAACCTCGGCATGCCGTTGTCCGACGGGCGACGGCTCGAGGTTGTCGCGAACGGGCTTCCGGTAGCTGTCGACGCAACGCTTGTGAGCCCAGTGCGGCGCGATGAGAGCAACCGACCCCGCGCCGACGCCGAGCCCGGCCTTGCGGGAGGCAACAGACCACAAGCGCCGGAGCACCTACCCGGAGTTCCGGGGCGCGGCGCGGTGCCGCCTCGTTGTCGTTGCCCTCGAGGTTGGGGGGCGCTGGGGGGACGAGACGGAGGCCTTCCTGCACCGCCTCGCGAGGGGCAAGGCCCTCGCCAGCCCCGAAGACCAGCGCGGAAAGGTTGCGCCGCGTACGCGCGCCGGTGGGGGCAGTTGCTGGCAAAGAGGAGGACACGCCGCCTTTGATTTGCCTTTTTGACGCGTCTTGCGCCCAGGACATCGCGAACAGTCGCATGTGGGCAGACGCCATGCTTGGAATGGGTGCCATACACAGTTTGCCCTGAAGCTGCCATGCACTATGCACTTGCGTCGCACTGCTGCAAGGGCCAGAGGGTCTGTTGCGCAACGCCCTGCGCCTCAAAAAGCCTTGCCCGTATCACAGGACGTGTGCTGCAGGCTCGCGCGCCAGTGTCAGCGCTGTGAACTCCTCGCACTTCTGCAGTCGGTGTGACGAACACATGTAGCAGCCATGCCGCACATGTGCACTGCAATCAATCTAGACCTTGCACGCATTCCATTCTGCACTGATTTCCTGCTGGGCCCTGCTTGGCGCAACATTTCCCCTCACAAGTCAGCAGTGGCCCAAAAATTGCACTCACCAGCTCGCTCTCGTGCGTGCCTCTCTACTCATGTTCGCCTCATCAACCGCTTACCCGCCTCCGTCCCTCCGCTCCTTGCGGCGCTCCGCCCCAAGCGGTTGCTTGTTTTCGCGGAAACCCTGCAAGCACGGTCGCTCCTCTTTCCCTGACTGGATAAGAAAACCCGCGGACCGTCATGAAATCAATGCGTGGCAAAACGCAAGTTCACGCAACGCACACGGCATGTCACTCGGATGCGCCTGGGCACGCGTGCCTTAGCGGATAGCGAGGGTGAAGCGCACTGGATGTTAAGCTCGCAAATGCAGAACTGGCCAGGATTTTTCACCCTATCCGCTCGGAGCTGGCTTTTGGGCTTGCATATTTGTCGTGCATACAGCCCCCCACGGCATCAGGCGTACCCCGATGAGGAGTTCAGGCCTAGACACAGTCCTGATGTGAGTGCATGTTGTGGCTGCACGTTCAACAGAGTTACCAACTGCCTACCTTCAGGTAGCCATGGCAGCTGGATGGCCCAGCGAATCGCCAACGAAGGCACACCAAGGCTTGGAGGTTTGACATCGGCTTGGCAAGGCTGGGCATGTTTTCAAGTTCTTGTTGGCCAGTTTTCCGGTGTTGGAAGGTCTGGTCTCTCAGAGGGCAGGGCGAGGTTGCGGACTCCTAGTCGGCCTAGCCATGATTTGAAAATGCAAATTTGCTACTGAAATGCGATCCGGATAGTGGTGGTTGATGGATTCGCAATCGGCCTTGCTACTTAAGGGCACGGCTGTCGACGAATCCAGAGGGCGTGCAAGCAGTGTAGGGTGAACCACTGCGTCGGCTTGGGGAGTCTCCAAGGAAAAGGGCCCGCCCAGAAACGCTTGCTTCTGTAGAGCATTTGAGGGCTTTGCTCACATTGGGCAGTGCTGAGTTTCTGGCCGTTGTCAAGTACCCGCGAGAGCGGGCAAGCGACCGCGTAAACACGCAACCGCCGTCAAGGTTCCCACGGAACCCCTAAATCCGGTCTGGGATGGCTCGCTTCGCCTTGGGAAACCCGCAAGTTGTTTTTCCCCGTGCGCCTTCCCTGCGGTGCTGCCGAGCGCAGTCGCCTTGCGAACGCCAAAAGGTTGGCCGCCCCAGGCATGAGAAACCTGGGTCGCGGAGTCGCGCATCTGCTGTCAGCCCTGTGGGAGGCGACAGGCCGCAAAAGCGCCGGAGCACTTACCGGAGTTCCAGGCGCGGCGCGGTGCTGCCTCGTCGTGGGCGCTGTGGGTGACCAGCGTTCAGCGTTCTGCTTGCCCGCTGGCCCTTTGGAGCGGGCAGCTGATCTGTCGCGAAGCTACCGTCACCACCTGCACCTTCCTGCGGAATGTCAACATCCCAGTCGGAGGCCTTGACTGACGCATCGAGAGGAACAGGCCCGGCGTCGTGTCTACCACCTGATGCGAGTCCACCACAACCTCGACCGTTTGATGGCCCCAGATCAGCCCCGTCAACTACGACCAAGGAACTCCGCGTCCTGGTGATCTGCCATGATGACGTATCTACGCATTGTAGGAACTTACGCTGAGGGCTCCACGGCCGGGTCCATCAAATTGCGCTGACAAGTCATCCAGAAGTGACTGGCCCATCCATGATAGCATTGGAGTCGATGTTGAAGGAGCTCATCGCAGATCGGGCGCACGGCTGTGCCTGGCCCCAATCGTGGTGGTCTGCCGTCAAGGAGCTCAGACGGATCTCCCTTGCCGACGCTGCTAAGTGACGTTGCTGCTGCCTGCGGCGCAGGCAGACAAGGCGTTGTGAGGATTTTTTTTTTTGGTTTTGTGCTCGCCCACACCGCCTAATAGTGCTTGCGCCCCTCCCCCCTACACCAAATTGCTGAATAGTCGCAAGTCAGCCAGGTTTTCGCGTCGTGACTCAGCCAAACGCAAGCAGCGCCTCGGCAGAAGAAACAAGTGCAGTGTCGCCTATCTGCCTGATAGTGGAAGACCGTCAGCCCTGGTCTGCGTGTGCTGGGAAAACACAAGCTGGCACTTTAGAGCTGAAGCTGTGTGGCAGCCTGGACTGCGGCTTTTGGGCAGCACGCGTGCTTTTGCCGCATGTTCACGACAGGCTCCTTTCTTTCCTAGAGTGCGCGTGCCGACATGTTGCTGCTGTGCTTCGCAGCGAGCTGGCGAGTGCTTTCGCATGCTGTAGCTGTGCATGTGCTCGAGGAAGCAACAACAAACCTTTTGCAGACTGTCATTAGTTTGAACTTGTTTCTTTTGGGCTCTGCGTTTTTTTGTGACAGAGGGGAAAGTAGGCATGGAACCCGGGAGCCTTTCAAAACTGGAGAATTTGGGCCCACAGCAGCACCCTCCTATGATGTGTTTTGTGCGACCTGCGCCAGAAGTATGGGCATACAGCCATGCGTTCCATTGGTGGAAAACGCCTGGGCCCAAATTGACGGAGCCTGCGCGGCGTGTGTGCGGCGCGGAACAGTGATGAGTTTATATGAGTTTTGTCTTGACATTTGCTTGGCAGGCTGGTTGGTCCTTGCACTGTGCTGCTTGTGGGTTTGCTTCTCAGTCAACCTGCTTCTGCTTGTGAGGGTGGTGAGCAAAGATCGCAGCCTTGATCCGTTTGTGCATTGCGGTGTCACAACATGATCTTTGCGTAGTGCACTGCGACTGCGCGCTTTGCAGCCTTCCTATCGTACAGTCTGATGTGAATTCCAACCTACCGCAACAACTGCAAGCCAGGCATTGTACTCTGAGACCTTCACGCCTGGGCAGTTGAGGCGGGTGGCCTGGACATCACCCGTGTTCTTGTGGGTCATCTACCTTCTTTCGTGGCAACTTCTGCGCCGAGGCAGTTGCCCAGATGGGGCAGAGTCAGGGCGCGCGCAGCGGCAGGCAGCTCTCGCGCGGGCGCGGAGAAGGAGGTGCGCCTTGCGCTTGCTTGCTTGTTTGCTTGCTTGTTTGCTTGGTTGTTTGCTTGCTTGTTTGCTTGCTTGTTTGCTTGCTTGCTGGCTGGCTGGCTGGCTGGCTGGCTGGCTGGCTCGCTCGCTCGCTCGCTCGCTTGCTGGCTTGCTTGCTTGCTTGCTTGCTTGCTTGCTTGCTTGCTTGTGTGTTGGTTGTTGCTGTTGGTTGTCGTTGAGCGTGGTTTTTTCGTGTGTTGTGGCTTGTTGGTTGCTTGTTGTTTGCTGTTGTTTTGTGCTGTTGTGTTTTGCCGTTGCTTGTTGCTTGTTGCTCGTTGCTCGTTGTTTGTTTGGTTGTTTGTTTGTTTGTTTGTTTGTTTGGTTGGTTGGTTGGTTGGTTGGTTGGTTGGTTGGTTGTGCGTTTGGTTGTGTGTTTGTTTGTGTGTTTGTGTGCTTGTTTCGTTTTGTTTGTTTGTTTGTTTGTTTGTTTGTTTGTTTGTTTGTTTGGTTTGTTTGGTTAGTTAGTTAGTTAGTTTGTTTGTTTGTTTGTTTGTTTGTCGGTTGCTGCTACCGCAGTCAGGGACCTGGTGCGTCATGCATTCCTCATGTTTTTTGACATGTTGGGTACTCGGAGTCTGGACACATGAGGCTAAGCTGCGCAAGTGGTAGTACACGTCCGCACCTACCCCTCGCCGACGCGCATCAGCGACCGCTGCACCCATGCTAGCACAAGCGTGAGTACACGCGATGGAAAACAGGATCTGAACAGGATTCTGTGACAACCTACTCTTGAACCTTTACGGATTGATGTTGACGCTTTTAGCTGCCGCGACGCAAACTCATCTAAAACGAAGCAGTTTGTTCAAGTTCTACTT